GGAATACCGCCATAGTGATTAGAAGAAAGTTCTGAACAAAAAATGTATTGCGCACTTTTGATTGGTCCAGCGGATGCTGAGCTACACTTAAATAAAATTCCGAAAAATTTTCGAAAAATTAAATTTTCGAGATAAGCGCTCCGGAATACCACCACAAAAATAGGGAAAAAGTTTCGAACAAAAAATGTATGGCGCACTTTTTAATTGGTCCAGCGGATGCTGAGATACACTCAAATCAATTTCGGAAAAAATTTTGAAAAATTAAATTTTCGAGATAATTGTTCGGGAATACCGCCATAGTGATTAGAAGAAAGTTCTGAACAAAAAATGTATAGCGCACTTTTTGATTGGTCCAGCGGATGCTGACCTACACTTAAATAAAATTCCGAAAAATTAAATTTTTGAGATAAGCGCTCCGGAATACCACCACAAAAATAGGGAAAAAGTTTCGAAAAAAAAATGTATGGCGCACTTTTTAATTGGTCCAGCGGATGCTGAGCTACAGTAAAAAACAAATTTGGAAAAATTTTCAAAAAATTAAATTTGCAAGATAATCGTTCGGGAATACCGCCATAGTGATTAGAAGAAAGTTCTGAACAAAAAATGTATGGCGCACTTTTTGATTGGTCCAGCGGATGCTGAGCTACAGTAAAAAACAAATTTGGAAAAAATTACAAACAATTAAATTTGCGAGATTATCGGTCGGGAATACCACCAATAAAATAGTCAAAAAGTTCCGAACAAAAAATGTATGGCACACTTTTTGATTGGTCCAGCGGATGCTGAGCTACACTTAAATAAAATTCCGAAAAATTTTCGAAAAATTAAATTTTCGAGATAAGCGCTCCGGAATACCACCACAAAAATAGGGAAAAAGTTTCGAACAAAAAATGTATGGCGCACTTTTTAATTGGTCCAGCGGATGCTGAGATACACTCAAATCAATTTCGGAAAAAATTTTGATAAATTAAATTTTCGAGATAATTGTTCGGGAATACCGCCATAGTGATTAGAAGAAAGTTCTGAACAAAAAATGTATGGCGCACTTTTTGATTGGTCCAGCGGATGCTGACCTACACTTAAATAAAATTCCGAAAAATTTTCGAAAAATTAAATTTTTGAGATAAGCCACACAAAAGTATTTTTCAAAATCCTTTGGTCAGATTTGAGATATTAATATGATAAATGAGCCTACTAAATTTTATCTAAATCCATTAAAACCTGTTAAAGTTATCTTCTAAACAAAAAGGGGATCTACACACACACACACACATACACACACACATACATACATCCGGACAATTGATCAGGATCTCATATAACATGTTTCTATAAAGAAAAAAATTTGTTTCCGCCACTTTGAAAAGTTTTATAAACGAAAGGACCACAAAGCTTCCTCCACGAGGAAGCAAAATGAATAATTTAAAAATTTTCCTTCTTTTTTTTTTGACAGTGAGGCTTGAAAATTGTTTTTTAAATTTAAAAAAATAAAAGTTTTAAAACTTTTAAGTGATTCATTTATTTTCTTTTCTTTCTCTCTCAATTTTTCACGTCTGGAAAGAAACGACTTTTTTTTACATTATCTTTCAAAGATATATCGTAGACAACTTGGAAAATTATCTAAAAATTCGAAAATCTCTTGTCAAAAATCAATTTATTGGAATTTATCGTGTCAAAACGAGAGAAAGAAAGCGAGAGAGAGAGAGAGAGAGAGAGAGAGAGAGAGAGAGAGAAGAGTGTAGAAGAAATATTTGAAAGTTCTTTTGAGGACTTGCTGGAACAATTGAGGAAGTTTTTGGTTTATCTGATTGGATATCGATAAGTAGAAGTTCGCTTAGAACTTGAAAGTCGTTTCGATAAACCGCTTCTCAATCCGCTTCATTGTTATTATATCCAATATCTGAAAATAAAAATCATATAAAATTTTATTGTTCAACCCCATAACACAACTGTGCACGCACTCAATTTTTAACAATTTCGAAAAAAAATATATATTATACAATATTTTCCAGTTGTGAATGCAAAATATCTATTGTATATATATAGAAAGAATAAATTTGAAATATTTTACTGCATTGTTGTCTATAGGAAGTAATATACAATATTAATCAAATATCAACAAAAAAAAATTTCGTTCACAAATGTTTTATATTTCTTTTGAAAATTTTCTTTTTAGATACTCCTGTGATAATAAAGTCTGTTAATTTTTTACTTTGTGTAAATTATATTGTGAAGATAGAAAAGCTAAAAAAAAAAGTAGCTTTTACCTTAACACAGATTTCAAGAGTCGAATCTCGTGCAGAAACATTTTTCTTAAACTATTTTTAAATAAAAAAATTAATATTTCAAAAACATCTGCGTCTTTGTAAAAACATTTTTTTTTGTTTTATTTAAAATACAGAATTTTAAATTAATGAAAAAAATTACAAATTATTAAATTCTTTTTTTTTCTATATATATAAAGTACGAATTCTTATAGATTGAAAAAAAGAGAAAATAATTCACTTTTGTGGTTATAATTTTTGTCAAAAAATGCGTGTTATGAAAAAAAAAATTCTGGAATTTCGTTATCGTGAATTTTCTATCGATTACGCACCAATTCTTTCACGTGGAAAGTAATTAATTGTACTTTGATAATATTTACGTTAAGTAATAAAATTTGCATGCGACGGGGAAAAAAAAAGAGTTTTAAAAAAAAGTCACTAATTTACACAAAGAACTCGGCAATTGTTTAGAGGAAATGAATGAAAATCCATTTGAAAAAAAAAATGCTATTTTCTGCAAAGTATTTTTAGTGAAAATAAAGCGTAACTATTTTAGAATCCAGTCACACCTACTTGTCGTTTTCAGCCAACTTCGATTGTAAATTTTTAGTTGTGTTGGAAGCGCGCGAGTTATAAGCGATGTAATGAAACACAGAAGAACATAAAATTTTACGATTTTCTGTCATTGTAAGATAAAAGTTGTAACTGTGTGTCTCTAAATGACTATATTTTTATTTATTTTTTTTTCAAACTGACATTTTTATAATATATATATATATAATAATTATATAGTTTATTTAATATTTCTCTTCTATATTTATATATTTTTTTTATAAATAATTAAATATTTAAAATTTTTCATCTTAAAAATTTTATACAATTTTTTTGTTTTAATATTCATTTTCTCATAATATGCAGTTATTATGTATTCAGAATATAATGTTATTATATATATACAGGAATAATAAATGACTTTATAATCTAGTAAAATTGAGTATCAGTTTAATTATTTATGATTATTGTTATTCGCAAAGTAATGACGTAAATGTCAATTTTAAAAGTACCACAATATTGTTAATTTAATTATAATTCTCCGCGGAACATTGGAATTATAAAGTAATTTAATATTATAACTGAATTTTAGTGAAATATTAAATTGACTTGGAAAATATTTAAATCGTAACTTCCTTTTAAGTATATAAAGGTATTTTTAATAGATTATGAAATTTTTTCATTTGTCATACAATATTTAAGGAGACTGATCCAAATTTTCACTTTGGTAAAAATAATTTACATATTTTTATTTTATATAATATAATATTTATAATAATATTTATATAATATAATTTTATATAATATATAATAATATTTAATAAATATATATTATATTAATTAATATTAAATTTTAATTAATTTAATAATTTAAAAAAATTTTAAGTCGTACTATTTAACAATTATTTATTAATATTGCAAAGTATAATATAAAAAAAATTTAATAACTTAAATTAGCATATTATATGAAAAAAAAAAAAAAAAAAAAAAAAATTCAATACACCATTTTTTATGTCAGACACGTTAGTTTGGAACATTTCAGTTGCAGCATTGCAACTGTAAAAGTAGAAATGTCGAGAAAATCTAGGCCAGTGGAAAACTGTTGAAAATCTGTAAAATGTAGTAGTGAATGGGGTTAGAGAGAGTTTACATGCATAAAAATTCACTCAAGTGGATAAAAAAATTCGTTTCTCTTAATTGTCATATTTTATATTAATTTTAATTATCATTTTTTTTTTAATTTCAATGAGTTTTATTATCCTCATTAAAAAATACATTTATTATTATTAGGAATTATTATTTATTTATTTAACAAACTGACGGGACAATAATAATAATAATTATTATTATCGATTATTATCGATTATTATTATTATTATTATTTTTATTATTATTATTATATTAATATTATTATTATTATCGATTATTATTATTATTTTTTTATTATTATTATTATTATTTTTTTTTTTTTTTATTGCAAATAATTATTTTTTATTAATGTTAATGTAAAATAAATATTTTAATTTTAAATTAATTACAAATTTTAATTTTCAGATGTAATGCAGAGGAGGCGAATTTTTTTTCCACTGGAAAGGAGAAAAATCTGATATTGCTCTACAATTATGTGGTATTTATAAAATTTTTTTTAAATTAATTATATTTTTATATTTAATTTATTAATCGGTGAAATTCGTAACCGTCTCAATATTTTTTTTTTTTCTATAATTTAAGAGTTTGGAAAAAAAATTTAATTATTTAATTTAAAAAACATTTATATGTATAGGTATATATATATATACATAGGTATACTTTATTGAATTTGTTTTAATAACGATTTTTTATTTGATTCCTCAAATAGTATAACATAAAATGTGGCCGCTTTGAAAGCTTTATTTCCTGCTCGTAAATTCGTTGAAAGCAGAGCGTAACAGTTTAAAGTGAATTGACTTGCGGATTGAGGTCACGAAAGACCACTATAAAAATCACTATCTTCATGGTGCAGAAATGTTAAGAAAAAAAAAAAAAAGGGAAAAAAGTAGACTTGCGTTAAATTTCAATAATAAATTAATGGCATTGTATTGCTTTTTTTCTAATCAAATCAGGCAAATATTTTTTCGTATAAATGTTTTTTTTTGTAACTAAATTATAAGGACAAAAAAGGTTTTGAATAGAAACAAAAGAACAAAAGTTAGAATTCAATATTATTCACAGAATATTTTGATGTAACATTGATTTTTTTAAATATATATATCTCTCTCTCTGAACAACAAATTCGGTTTTACATTGAAATAGACTCTTATTACATTAGTAAATAATTATTTGAAAAAAAGAAAACAAATTTTCAGAGATTTGAATTTATGTTCACATTCGTCAATGTACACGAATTGCACGTGGTGTTTCATGGGTCTTTATATCGACTTTGGGAATATTAAACCGTTGAAATACGTCCAATGTGTCTTCGACAAATTTATCCATCATCAAATTTGTATGCTTTGGTGTTGGCGCAAGTCGCAATTTTTCTTCTCCCTTGGCAACAGTTGGATAATTTATTGCCTGTACATAATGTCCCTTTTCTCGTATCAATGCATCGGCAATTTGCGAGCACAAAAGTGGATCTCCAATCTTGAAAAAAAGAAACATTTTACATTTAGAAAAATTAATTTAATTTTATATTTAGAAAAAAAAAAATAAACTCACTTTAATTGGAATAATGTGAGAAGACGATGGTTCCAATGGAAGGCCAGCGGAATTAAGATTTGATTTCATATAAGCAACATTTGCCTGATGAGCCGATCTCAATGTTCGTCCCTCATCCGATGCTAAAATTTCCACAGAAGTTAATGCACCATACAATACAGTTGGTGGTAATGATGTAGTGAAAATAAAACCCGCAGCATAGCTTCTTATCATATCAATTAATTTCTCAGTACCAACAATATAACCACCAACATTGCCAAATGCTTTACCCAATGTTCCTGAGATAATATCCATTTTATCAAGTACCCAATCACGTTCACCAACACCAGCTCCTGAATAACCATAAAGACCCACTGCATGTACCTCATCGACAAATGTTAAGGCCCCATATTTATGAGCAATGTCACATAATTTTTCCAATGGACATATATCACCCGTCATGGAATGTACAGTTTCAAATGCAACAATTTTTGGTATATTTTTATCAATTTTTGATAATAATTCCTCAAGATGTTGAATATCATTGTGACGAAATATAAATTTTTTAACACCACTATTTTTTATTCCCTGTATCATTGATGCATGATTACCGGAATCAGAAAATATATGACAATTAGGAAGACTTTTTGCTAATGTAAATAATGTTGAATCATTTGCAACATAGCATGATGTAAATAATAGGCCTGCTTCTTTTTTATGTAATTGTGCTAATCTTTTTTCAAGCATTTCATGACCCATTGAATTACCCGAGATATTACGCGTACCACCAGCGCCAGCGCCAAATTTATCAAGTGCTTGTCTCACTGAATTAATAACAGCCGGATGACGTGACATTCCTAAATAATCGTTTGAACACCAAACGGTGATTGGTTTCTCGCCCCATGAATACTCCATGGCACTTGGAAATTCCTGAGCTAGACGATTTACCTTCTTGAAAATTCTAGGGGCAAAAAAAAAAATAATAATTTATTAATTTCTATTTATTTTTTTTGAATTTATTGCAAATTATTAATCCATAAAAAAATAATTAGAATTTTTTATTTCAAGAATTTTCTTTATTATTTTTTATAAAAATTTTCATTTTTCGAATTAGCAGTTAATCGATTTAGCACTTAACCGGATTAGCATTTAACCGAATTAACATTTAACCGAATTAGCCTTTAACCGAATTAACATTTAGCCGAATTTTTCTTTAAATGAATTTTTAATAATAATAATAAAAATTTCGTTAAATAAAAAAATATATTAATTATTTTCTACTTATTTTTAGAATTCGAAAATAGTTATTCCATAAAAAATAATTAGAATTTTCTATTTCAAGAATTTTCTATTATTTTTTATAAAAAATTTCATTTTTCGAATTAGCATTTAGCCGATTTAGCATTTAACCGAATTAGCATTTAACCGAATTAACATTAATCGAATTTGTATTTAAACGAATTTTTAATAATAATAATAATAATAATAATAATAATAAAAATTTCGTTAAATAAAAAATCGTTTAAAAAAAAATATAATAATTATTTTCTATTTCAAGAATTTTCTATTATTTTTTATAAAAATTTTCATTTTTCGAATTAGCATTTAACCGATTTACCACTTAACCGGATTAACATTTAACCGAATTTTTTTTTTAAACGAATTTTTAATAATAAATAATAATAAAAATTTGGTTGTTAAGTAAAAAATTGTTTAAAAAAATATAATAATTATTTTCTTTTATTTTTAGAATTTGAAAATGATTATTACAATAAAAGAAAATAATTCGAATTTTCTATTTAAAAAATTTTCCTACTATTTTTTATACAAATTTCTATTTTTCGAATTAGCATTTAATAGAATTTCTTTTTAACCGAATTTTTACTTAACAACATTTTTTATGTACCGAATTTTTGATTTTTTTTTAATTTCTCTTTATCAACTTTTTTGTTTTAAAAAAAAATTCTGACTTAACCGAATATTAATTTAGTAGAATTTTTATTGAACAGAATTCGAATTTGTAAATTCCAGAATTTTCAATTCAATAAATCTTCATTTGTCCGAATTTTTTGTTTGTTCGAATTTATATTTGATAGAATTCTTAAAATTCTTTTCAATTAGAATTTTTTGCTAAATTAATATTCAGTTGAATTAGAATTTTTTTTAAATAAAAAGTTGGTATAGAGAAATTCTGTAAAATAAAAATTTTCATTAAGTAATCTAATAAAATTCGTAAAAAAAATACAAAATAATTTAGATAAAATTATTTATTTTAATATTATTTTAATATGTTTCTAAATCAATTTTTTTGAAATGCTAATTCGAAAAATAAAAATTTTGTTAATGTAATATTCGTAAAAATTGTAACTAATTATTTTTATGGTGATAATAATGCCATTTCGAATTAATTAAATTTTGAAAATTAATTAATTCAAGTTAAAATTTTTCGTGAATTTAACAAAAATTTCTTTTTTTTTCCCCCTTCCTCTATATACCTGTAAGAGTGATCCTTTTTCTTTCTCATTATTTGTTCATGAAAGAATTTTTCATATTGAAAATTATTATCCTCCGTTTGTGATGATACAACATTAATAATATCCTCCTCCATTGCTGGATTAGCTTCTTTTATAACTTTAGGCTCGTTTGAAAGAAATGGACATTTATTGCCAATTTTTTCCGGTATCTGAGCATTTTCAGATGTTGAACTAACCATTCGCGACATCACTGGACAATGTTGGGGAAAATTCATCATCACTGATGCTCCATAATTTCGAATATAGTTGGGTGACAATCGAGCTAAAAATGGACACGGCATTGTTTCTAAAAATAAGAAAAGAAATATTAGGTTTTTGTCGAGAAAAAAAAAAATAATTGCCTCCCATGAAAAAAAAAAAAAAAAAAATTAAAATGATTTTTTCGTTACAAATATCAGAAGAAAAAAAATTATCAAATCGTCAATAATATAATTTTTCACTAAAATCAATAGAGGATAATCTTTGAACTCTGAAAAATAAACAAACAAGTGTTTATAATCAGAAAAATTTATTTTCGATTTGCCTTTTTTTGGGAAAAATTTGTAGAATAAATTCTTTTTTTTGAATTTTGCTAATGAAATTTAAAAAAAGAATTTATTGTACAAATTTTGTTGTTAAAAAAAAGGAATTTGAGAAGATTTTAATAAAGAATTTAAAAAATGAAAATTTGTCATCAAGTGTCAAAAGTCATTTTTGCAAATGTTATATAATGTATATGATAAACGTCATTATGATAAAGCAACAATTGTCATATTATCATATATACTTTCCCCTTTTTTTTTCCCCGGAGCATATTGAATAGAATAATTGCATAAAAAAATTATAATTATTAATAAATGAAAATTTTTGAATATTAAAAAAATAATTCTTTAAATAAAAATGAATTTTTTGCTTGTGTGAAATAAGTGAATAATATCAATATTTCATGCGCCTGAAGAAACAACCCTTATACAGCTGATGACCTATCTTTTTATAATACTAAATTGTTTTTGCTTTGCAATACAAAAAAAAAAAAAAAAAATTGACTCTCATATTGAGTAATATACGAAAGAGAACAGGAAAAGAGAAAGTAAAATCTGTCAAGAAGTTTAAGTTACTTAACGTCAGGGTTTTTTTTAATTAAAAAAAAAAAAATGTAATGACTTACTTTTTGCAGATGATGATGTTGAAAAACGATGACCACTGTTAAGAATACACTGTCGTATCAACTGCAATGAGATTTATAATTTATATTAAAAAAAAATTAGGACAAATTTGTTTGGAAAATAATTGATGGGAATGATATAATTCAACCATTCACTCTAAAGGTTCCCCTGTGACTAGATAACCTACAGAGAGAAATCGTTTACTGTGAAATACAGTGAGAGAGTAATAATTATTACTATTCAATCTAAAAACATCGAATTCATCCTTGCGCCACTTTGGATTTAGAAATCTTCCCTTATGGGGGGTATTAAAAAAAATCACATTTTAAAATTTTCAATTTTTCAATTTCTAACCCGCAGAAAAAATTCAAAATAAATATTTATTTATAAATAATTTTTATTTGCTTCAAATAAAAATTTTATTCACCGCCAAATAAATGGGAAATTAATATATTAAAATATATATTTATAAATTTTATTTAAACAAAAACAAGTTTAATCAAAATTTCATTGCGAGGCAATGAAAAATTTTTTTAATTAAAAATTTACATTTTTTTTTGGAAAAAATATTTAGCAAATATTTGGTATAAAAACGAATTATTTTTATTGTGCTTCAAATTTAACGAAATTCAATTATTTTAGTAAAAAAAAAAAACCTGTTTTTTTTACTAAATAAAATATTTTTTATCGTCGTGGTTTTTATTTAAAATTATTAGTTTTTCTTTTCCTCGAAAACTTGACGATACTTCCTTAAACTTTAGTTTATGTACATAATAATAGATATCAAAATAGAAGATAAAATTGTTTTTTCCTCTTTTGTTTATCAAAAAAAAAAAAAAAAAAAAATTCAAATTCTAAACTACAATTATTTTAAATATATTTTTGATATCTACACTGAAAAAAAAATGTTATTCAAATTACAATTATAAAATAAATATTTATTTGTATTAAATAATTATTATTTGAAATGGTATTTGTTTAAAATACATAAATTATTGGATTAAATACATTTTTTTTTTTTATTTAAATTAAAATTCCTTTCAAGGTTTTTTTTTTTTTTATCTTTATATGGAAATTAAATATTGTGCAACTAATGAATATTAATGAAAGTATAAACAATATATTCGATTTATAATTCTCTTGTACATAAGATATTTTGTTTCTATAAATGGTTTTCTTGAAAATTTTTATATTGTTTAAAGCTTCAATTTTTTTTTGTTACAAATTTAATTTTTAAATAATGTTATTGTAACATTCAAAAATTAGTTATTAGGAAAAAATTTAGAAAACAAATTTCAGAGACGTATAAGAAAATATGTATTTTAGAGTTACGTGCTTTCTTACATGTTTCGTTTTTTTTATGGGACAAAGAAAAAACAAAAAAAAAAATTTGTTTCTTACAGTGAAAAAAAAAGTTTATTTAATTCAAATAATCGGTTGACTATAGTATCAAATAAATATTTACTTGCGAACCAAATAATTTCTGTATTTGAAAAAAATATCATTTAAATAATAATTAATTAATAATAATTTAATAATAATAATTAATTAATAGTAATTTAATAATAATTAATTAATAATAATTTAATAATAATAATTTAATAATAATCATTAATTAATAGTAATTTAATAATAATTAATTAATAATAATTTAATAATTATAATTAATTAATAGTAATTTAATAATAATTAATTAATAATAATTTATTAATTATTTAATACAAATAAATATTTATTTGATTAACTGATTTTTTGAATCAAATTTTTTTTCAGTGTATTAATTATTTATTTAATTAATTTAATTATTTATAACCAATTTTTTAGTCCGGAAAATAAAAAAAATTATTTGCAATTTTTTAGAAAAATTAGCGCTCACCAATGAAAATGATTGTACTGAATGAAAAGACATTTTACAATTTGTAATATACGTTTCGTTTAAAGTTTCAATAGTAACTGAAGTTGCTTTTTTACGTTTTGTCTACATGTAATCATGAATATATAAATATTAAAGATATAATGGGGGGAAATTGACATTTACGCGGAATCATCATGATTATATAGACGTCAATACTCGTGAGTTTTTTTTAATTTACACGTGCATGAATTTTATATATATATAAATTATTGAGACATTGATTAATTACAATGAGAAAAAAATTCAAATAAACAATTAAATATTTACTAGCACCAAATAATTATATCACTCAATTTAGTATTTGCCAAAAAATTATTGATTCAATTAAACAATTTATTTAATTCAATTATAAAAATTATTTGATTCAAGTTAATATTTGTTTGATAATCGATTGAATTGAATAAAATAATTTCTTTTCAATTTCTCTTTAAATTAATTTAATTAAAATTAATTTAATTAAAATTAATTAAATTTATTTAAAATTATTTACTTGGATTTAAAAAAAAAATTTTGTTTCAAAAATGAAGAAAATATTGTTTTCAAATTGAAAAAAAAAAACCGCCAAATTATGAAAATGTTATTGTTACGGTTAATATAAAGACGATAACAATGACAACGTACTTATCATTTCATCCCATGAATAAGAACGACGCTCCCGTTGAAAGAAGAAACTATCTTCTTCTTTAAATTTGTATAGTCGACAAATACGTTCACAGCATTATCCACATTTTTTTTTGTATGAATGATTCCAGAATGAAGAGAAAAAATTCTAGCAATTTTTTTTTTTGATGAGAATTTAGTTTTTTTCAGATGTGAATAAATTTTACTTGAATTTTCCAAAAAAAATAAAAGAGAAGAAGAATTTATTTTATTGAGAAGAAAAAAAAATGTAAAGGACATATCTCAGGGCATAGACCTCCATAAGTGTAAAATCCGTCGATCGATGATGTTCCAGTGCACAACCATTGGATTCGACGTGGTTGTGCAGCAGTCCTTTTGGAGTCGGCGCGATAGTATTTTATTTACCTTTCCAGCGCCCTCAGAGGGGTCTTATGGACCCTCTTGGTTTGTTGCGACTCAGAACACATAAAGCTTTTCTCACATTCGCAACGAGTGAATTGACTTCAATTTCATCCTCATTTGAAAGCAAGTTCTGCAAATTCAACAATAACATTAGACTGTCATCGCCTTTAAAACTGCTGCCAATCATCAAGGTACATTTTTGTTTTCTTATTTTTTATTAATAACAATTTTTTCTTATTTCTTAATAAGAGAAAAAAAATTTATTTTTCTATACAATTTGAAAAATAAATTTTTTCTTTTAGCCAAAAGACAATGATTTTTTTTTTTTTGAATAAGGAAAATTATTTTATTTGAAAAATTTGAAGATTCAATAATTTTGTTTTATTTAAATTTAGACTAAATGACAATTATTTTTTATGATAATGAAACATTTTTCGAATGACAGTGCAAAAAAAAAAAATGTAAACAAAAAATTGACAGGTGGAATAATTCGTTTTTTTTCATTTTGGCGATTTTTCGTTTCGTTCAATTTTTAAAAGATTCGCAAAACATGTTTTTGGAAACTTGGTTTCAAATAAGAATAATTTTACACCGAGAGAAGATATTCCCCTTTTTTGGAGCCAAATAAATATTTATTTGTTTCAAAAAAATTTTATTTGGTTTTTATTTTCAGTTAAATAAATTTTATTTGAAAATAAAAATTTTAATTGCGCTAAATAAAATGTTATTTGTGCTAAATTAAATTTTTTTTACAAATAAAAAATTATTAGGTTCATAGAAGAATTTTTATTAAAAAAAAATAATTTTATTTGATGACACATACATTTTTTTTTATCTTAAAAATATTTTTTAATAAAAATTTCAAAACAATAGAATTTTTCCAAAATTAATATTTATTCGTATAAAAAATATTTAAATTCAAAAATAATTATGTAATAAAAAAAATTGATTATCGATCAATTTGTTTATTTTTATTTTATTTACTTTTTATTTTTTTTTTTATTCTTTTTTTTTTATTGTATTTTGTAATTTGTTTCAATTTTTTTTTGTATTAATTTTTTTTTTTAGTTTTATTTTCTTTTTTTTATTTTGTTTTTGTAAAAAAAGAACCTGATTTGAGTACAATGTAACCAATACAAAAAGCAGCTGTTTCAGTATAAGGGGTACATTTTACCAACATGCGTCTCAAAAGTCGACCAGCTGCAATCAATATATTTGCTATTATGTTTGTCACAAAATTCTTCAACTCTAGGAATTTTTTTTTTAGAAAATATGAAATAAATAATTTTCAAAAAATTTTACATATAGAAAGAAAATTTATCGGAAAATTATTTTTCTTGTCAGTTTTCACAAAAGAAAAAAAAGGAAACTGGTCACATATCCTGATGTAAACAAATATGGTGTCACGGCGTCACACTGATTTTAAACAGAAAAAAAAAAATAAAAAACCATTTTTTTTATTCTATATTTATGAAAAGAAATTTCTTTTTGAAAAATTGCCAGAAAGACCTGAAAATCGAGGAAGGTCAAAGGAAATTCTTTTTATATACTTTTTCTTTGTTCTGTAAATTATTTTCTATATTTGTCATTGTTAATTAGTCAATTAATTTTAATTTGATAAATTAATTTTATCGAATTTTACTAAATAATATATTTTTATTTAACTAAATTTTTACCTTTTACAATCGTATAGAAAAATAAATATTTGACCTATTTTTCAATTTATAACGATTGCCCCTTTAGACAAGGGAATTTATCACATAATGAGCGTTTATTGACGAACAATAGAAATCCAAAGAAGCTTCAATTTCTTTCAATTGAAACTATTTCTCTCTTAGTGCGTATTTAGAAAAAATAAAAAAATATTAATATTAAAATTTTTTTTTTACTATACGTGACAATAGACACACAAATTCAAAATACTATATCTGGTATTTGACCTTAAACTTTAATCATTTTAATGAAATTATGATGATAAATCATTATAGGGACTGTTAAGAGAATGACGAATGAAATAATAAGGAAATATTTTTATCATAAGTTATTTATTTATATTTGTAGTGAGAGTGATTTTAATGTAATGACGTAAAAAAAAAATCAAAGACAACAGTAATAAATTCATATTATCGTTTCTGATAAAAAAAAAAAAAATAATAATTAATAACTCATTTTTAAAACATATTAAATAATTGTATCATTTAGTTAATGACTTGAAACCGCTCGTGGCTGATAAAAAATTATATGATTTATATTTTCAATGTGAAAGGTCATATATTTCCATAAATAATTTCTAAATAATTTCCAAATAATTTCCAAATAATTTTCTATAATTTTAAGAATAAATCATTTAGATTCTTGTCATTATCATTAACAATGAACGTGATTCAATAACAAAAAAAGAAACCTATATATAGAAAATATAGAAAAGATTTTTATTTTCTAAATATTGAAAAACTAACTAAAAATAGATTTATAAAAGTTTTAACTATTGTACATTTTTATCGAGAAGTCAATAGATGAGCTAGAAAATAAATTGTCCTTGAAAAGTTTTTTTTTTTGTAGAAAAGTAAGAATTCTTGTGAATCACGCAAGGACACTGACACTAGGCCTAAGACTAAGATTTACTTTTACTTATATATTAATTACTTTTTATATGGAAAAAGAAAATAGATTTTTATTTAATATTTTTATTTTTATAAATAAATATTTTTTTAAAAATTCATTTTATATTTATAAAAAAATGAGAAATGATTTTATTTGGCAGAATAATGAATTATTAACAAAAAAATTAATAATCACCTAATTTTTTTTTAATTATTAAAAAAAAAAATTAGGTGACGATATTTTTAGAAACGAAAATATTAGAGTCATTAACTAATTAAAATTTCCTGTTACATTATAATACAAGATTGCGAGTTATATAGTATATGTAAAATATTTTATGTCAATGACCTACTCCAAGAATGAGGCGGCTTAATATACAAAATATATAATCTTTTATTACACACAATCAATTTGTACATTATAGTAAAAATCATCTATTACGTTCATTCAGAAATTTATTTTTTATATTCCCTATTCTTACAAGATACAAATTGAAAATTAATTTAAAAAAAAAAAATACAATTTTCCAAATATAATCTCAATTTTTTTTATTATAAATTACAATTTTAAATTCTAATAATATATATAAAAATAAAAAAAAAATTTTTTAATATAATAATAAATAATAATAATAATAGTAATTTTTTATAAAAATATGATAATATGAATAACAATTATAATATTAAATGTAATTTTCGTAAAAAAAGTCTTTTTCAACCCTTTTAAAGTACTCCATGTTATGTGTACCTATATATTTCGTGAAAATGTGAAAGAGCCCGCAGAGGAGAAGCGAGCACGCGGATGCCTGCTGATGTGCACGTGATATCAGCGTGTGCCGTTCCATAGCATCGACCGTGTTTCCCCTCTCTTGTTCGTTGACTCATTTCCAAGCATGAAAACGCGAACACTGAGCAAATCAGGTACAAATAAACAAAAGTTGCAAACACACACCATCCGCGAATTAATTTTTTTTTTTTTCAATTAAAAAAATTATTTAAAAACAAAATTTTTTGAATTAATCCATATAAATTTTTATTTATTTTTATTGAATTTTTATCTCAATTTTTATCTTATAGAAATTTTAAGATAAAATTAAGATTTGATAAAATTAAAAAGGGAATATTATTAGAATTTTTAATTTGCGAAATTAATTAATTCTAATTATTATTTAATAATACTACTTCCTTTTTTTTCCAATATTTGTATTTTCACTTCGATTTTCCATAAATGAAAATTTAAACCCCAAAATTATTTCTTATATTAATTGAGAAAATTTTGCTGCACTGAAAAAAAATTAATTGATTCAAATAATCTACTTGTCAATTATCAAATAAATTTTTACACTCAGAAAAAAATTCGTTTGAAGCAACCAAATTTTGGTTAAATCAACAAAATAAATGCATTGATATACATAGTTAACCAAACATTTGGTTGCATAAACCAAACGTTTATTTAGATCAATTAAATTTTTTCTTTGTTCAAAAAATTTATTAAAATAAACCAAACAGTTATTTAGATCAAATAAATATTTATTTGAATTAAACAAATTTTGTTTAAACTAACCAAAAAATTGGGTAAATATAAAAAAATGGTACATTTGGTTCAAACATATCTTTTTTCTGAGTGTAATTATTATTTGCGTCAATTAAATTGTATTTGTATTTTGAAACAAAAAAAGCTTTTTAGTTTCCAAAAAAAAATTTCTTTTGATTCAAAACGAATTTGTACATTAAATCAAAGAAATTATAACATTGATATAGAGACAAAGAAATATTTATTTGAATTAAATAAAAAAATTTTTTGAAACGCAGATAATTTTTTTTTTTTGAATCAAAAATAATTTGTTTCAAATAAATTTTCTTTGTATCAAAAAAAAAATTTGTCAAAGAAATTGATTTCTTTGAATAAAAGAAATCTTTTTTCTGTCTAATTCAATTATTTGATTTTTAAAAATTATATTAGTTGCAAGTAAATATTTATTTGATAATTGATAATATATTATTTAAATCAATTTGAACTTTAGACACATCTTAAAATAAGATTTTCTTTTTACTGTGAATAGTAAATTGATAACCCAGATTTCAATTTCATCATTATGCGTCTATAGCCAATTTCTATTAATTTATTATTTCCGGTCTATTCATATATATATATATATATTATTATATATACAATATTGGAGGTAATAAAGCTTATAATTTGTTTTTATGCCCAACATGTGTGCGGAAAAATTACATAATCTCTTTAAAAATAAACCATAAATTAAAATAGTTGTATATATATATTTCATTTTTATAGTTTGTTTTTGTATTTTATGACGAAAATTCAAACAAATTATTTCTGATAATGGAACTTGGAAAAATTTTCGATTTTCCTATCATATAAAAATAGTTTATTTCCAATAATCACTTACTTGACTATTATCAAATAAATATTTAAATAAAATAATTTTTATTTGAATTAAATAAACTGTTTTTGATTTTTAAACAATTTTTTTTAACCAATAATTTTTGTATTTAAAATAGATACTAAATTGACTCAACTAATAATTATTTAAAAATGTTTTAATTGATAATAGTGAATATTATTTGAGATTAAATAAATTTTTTTAGTGTAACAAATATATTTGCAATTTTTGATCTAAATATATAAAACTTCTTTGTTTTAACTTTTTGTTTCTTTGTTCTTCAAACGGCCATTAACCTTAGCATATTATTCTTTGGAACATGTTTTTTTTTAGATTTGCAAATTTTATTTTTAAAGAACTCGTGTAATAAACAAATTATTCATTTTGAAAATATTTTTTTTGCTTTTCTGAATCTAAATCGAAATTTCTCAATTTTTCAATTTTTTAATTTTTAAAGAACCATTCTTTTTAATTTGTTGATTTTTTTTTATTCTTTTTTGGCAAAAAATAATAATTATAGAAATTATTGACACCAATTTTCCTCGAATGTAAATTGTTTATAAGGCTTTCTATTAATAAATTAAATATACGCAAAGAAATGGAAATTATAGTCTTATCTTTATAAGCGCGTATACATAATTGTTATTTACAAATGAACTGAAATGACCTATTAATCTGTCTTATATATTTTGTATCTCAATCTATATTCATACATTATAATTATAGATTTAAAATCTAATTGCAAACTAATTAAAAATAACCCAGCTCATAAATAATAATAATAATAATAATAATAATATAGAAAATGTTATTCTTTTTATAGAATTAAAATATATTTATATCGTCGTCTTTTTTTAATAATAAATAATTTATTTTTAACAATTATTTTTTATATATAATATTAAGAGAAAAATTTATTTGAAATTGAATTTAATAATTAAATTGGCTGAGCCAATAAAAAATTAATTTTTATTTTTTAATAAATATAAAGCGGGTTAATAAAAAATTATTTTATTATAAATAAATTTTCATCATAATTCGATTTTATAGTGTTATTGTTTCGTTTCTTTTATTTTTCATGGAAACGTTCATTTTTTTTATCACAAATACCGTTTTGTTTAAAAGTAGTTTAAATAGTAAACTGAACATTTTTACCGTTACAAAGTGTTATATAATAATTCAGAATGGAATCAAGTAAACCACACATCAGTTTCCCTTGAAGAGATTTTAATCTACATAATATCTGACAAGGTGAATGTCGCATTTAACTAATATGCATATATTTGGAAGCGAAATAAAAAATTTTCTCTATCATTTCTAATTTAAAAAATAATTGCTATTAATTAATTTTCATATTTATTTCATTATTTTTTTTTTATTTTTCGTATTCATTGAAACTAAGTAATCATTATAAATAATTAATCATTGTATTGATTAATTATTAAATAATCGTTAATTTTGTTTAATTAATAAATAATCGTTAATTTTATTTAATTGATAATTAATCGTTTATTAAAAAAGAAATTTAAAAAAGAAGTTTTGTTCTTTTAATATTAAATTGTGATTTTATCATTCGAATTAAGTCCTTTTTTCATTGCGTAGAAGTTGGATTGAAATATGTGTTTTAAAAAATTGGAGTTATTACAGCAAAGTCATTTTAATTAACTTTTAATAGTCTTAAATGGCGATCAGATGGTTGACTATAGAACGTTTACATAACAGATGAATTACATTTTCAAGGTCTAAAGGTTTAAAAAAAAAAAAAAAAAAAAAAAATTTTATTTGAAAGCAAATTTTAAAAAATTCGCAAAAATTTTTGATAAAAAAATGTTTTAATTATAATTAATATTTCTTTAAATTCTCTTTAAAAACTCACTATAGACAATGAATCAAGAAAATATTTACATTCAAAATCACAGTTGTTGCTTTCATTTTTAAAGAACTGAATGAATTAAAATTATTTTCATTTCTGAATCATCGATCCTATTATTTTTACTTTGATCACACAGGCCTGCGGTATTTTTAAAATGATTTTTTTTACTTTATTATTTAAAAAGGAAAAATTAACATAATTTCAAAATAATAATTTTTTTTTCCATTTTCACTATTATAAAAATGAAAAATTATTATTTTGGAATTTTTTTTTCAAAAAGAAAAATGTTAATATACAAAATATATCAAGGTAAACGTTCAATAACCCATTGATTATACAATAAGGATCAGGTCAAGGTTATCATTTCATTTACATATATACAAATGATTAAACATTTTGCAGGTAAATTAAAATCCGACACATTTTTAAAAATATTTTAAATGTCGTTCGTTGATAGTGAAAGGAAAAATAATTTTTCATTAAAAAAAAAAAAAAAAAAAATTCAAGTGTGACAAAAAATTTGAAAATACAACAAAGAATTTTTAAATTAAACACAAGTGTTCGGGTATAGGTTGAATCTAAAATCTAACTGACCTTCTGGTTGGATAACAAGTGGGACAGGTCAGGGTTGTCGAGACACTTTGTCCAACCTCTGCGAAACTTATATATTTTGCAAAACCAATCACTATATGACCTATATTTTCTTTATTTTCATATCTATTAAAAATTGATACAAATAATTTATTAATTTTTGGAAAAAAATATTTTTTTTTTTTTTGCTGCAAATGAATTTTTATCATAATTAGAAAATTGAAAATATATTTTTTGATGTAAATTATTTTCTATGATCGATCATTGATTAATTAAATATACAACAATATTTATAAATGTTTATAAATTTCCACTAGTTAAAATTTACTTTATTCTATTTATTATTACTTATAATTTTTTTTTTTTTACAGGTGATACAATTTTGAAGACTGTACACTTGAAACTATTTTTGTAACACCTACGCCTCACTGAGGCAGCTTATATTAAATTATTTAAAATTTCCACTGAAAAAATAATCCCATAAGAAAAATTTGAATTTTCATTTTAAAGAATATTATCGAACTTTTATTTGACTAAATTTTTATTACCTTCAAATTTTCATTTTATTCATTCCCCCTTTTTCTGGATTTTTATTTAATAAATCATTATTTTGTTTTTGGGGATTAGGTTTAAAAAAAATACTATTCAAATATTTTTTCAATTTCTGTAAAATCAAATTTTTTTCACACACAAAAAATGAAAAAAATATTCTATTTTTCATAAATAAATTAAAGTAAAAAATTTTTTTATTTTTGATAAATAAATTAAAGTAAAAAAAAACGAAGTGTCAAATATCATTTAAATTGTTATTTCATCATTATTTTGTCTTTGGGGATTAGGTTTAAAAAAAATACTATTCAAATATTTTCTCAATTTCGTTAAAATCAAATTTTTTTCACACACAAAAAATGAAAAAAATTTTTTTATTTTTGATAAATAAATTAAAGTAAAAAAAAACGAAGTGTCAAATATCATTTAAATTGTTATTCGAAATCAAGATGAAAATTGTCAATAATAAGACCTTCGAATTATAATAATCTATTACGTCTTTTTGGTAATATAAAATAGAGTCAACAAATTTTTTTCATTTTTTTTTTTTTATTTTTTAATGATTTCTCGATGGGAGGAAATATTTATGCTCTCTGGGAGCATCCAGAAAACAGTTGTAGCACGTGTTTTCCGAGTGTTCTCAGTCCCCACTTTTTTTTTTTCATTCCTCCTCCAGTAGCTTATATATATATACGTATATAAAAGTACATCAAAAGCTTTTGCGTTCAGTTTTAGTACGTCGCGCCTACTGTTTCAAAGTTATTGTGTTTGTAAATTTTATCATTTACATAAACAACAAAGTATTTAACTTTGTTAACGAAGAAAAAAAAGCTGATTAATATTTTTTGTTATTGAAAAAGAAAAAAAGTGATTTTCCATAAATATAGGATTATTTATTTTTTATTCAAAAAAAATAAAAAAAGAAAGAGGACTATTTCATCTTGTCATCATGCCTGTTGAAATTGCTCCTATAACTGAACCACACAAAAAACATTCACAATATAATGGGTAAAGTGGAGATTTTTTTTTTATTACAAACCTCTTATAAACAATCTTACAACTTTCTCTCACTTTCCTTACTGTAGATTTTTTTTTGCCATTCAATTTCAATTGAATATAAAAAAGAAAAAAATACATATATACACTAAAATCAAATCATTTTTATTCGTTAATTTTTTCTCCAATATAATTAATTTTTATTTTTTATAAAAAATATTTTTTAAACTATAATTTTAAATTATTATTACAAAAAATACATTTTCTAAATAATAATAATAAATAATAATAATAATAATGAATAATTATAATAATAATAATAATAATAATAATAATTATTATTATTATTATTATTAATTATTATTTTTATTATTATTATTAATTATTATAATTATTATTATTTATTATTGTTGATTATATAGTATATAATAATAAATTTCGTATTTAAAAAGCATGTGGAAGCGAATTGCGTTTGAAAATTTGAGCTATGGTTTACTCAATATTACACCATACAGGAAATTACTAACGTGGGAACTATTTTTAAAAAATCAAAAATAAAGGGCGAGTCATTAGTCGAACTTTTTTTTTAATACCTTTTAAAAATTATGATAAAAAAATTTATTTTTAAACTATTTTTTTTATCGTAAGAAAATTATGTTTTTTAATATACGCAGCATACGCAGTACAGTTTTTGTTCACAATTTTTTTTTTTTGCAAAGATTTCAAAAAGAAAGGAAAATTCAAAAAAAAAAATACGAATTTAGAACTAAAAAGGAAATTATATTTACAAAGAAATTAATTAATAATTAAATTTTCTTTTCAAACAATAGTTTTTAAATGCAAAGAATAAAAATAACAATAAACAAATTAAATTTTTAATTAAATTTATTTATTACTTTTTTTTCTCTCAATTTTCTCCTTTAACTATTTTATTTAGTTTTTCCCTTTTTTTTTTCTTTTTCAAAATTTATTTTTTCTAATAAAAAAAGTATTTCAAAAAAATGTGTACACTGGAAAAAAATAATAAATCAAGAAAACCGATTTATTTATTTGTATTTGATTTAGGAATTTTCTTGATTCAAGAAAATTTTACTCCCAAGTAAATTTTCCTAAATTAAGAAAAGTAGTGTATAAAATACGCACGAGTAAATGATTTTCTTAAATCGATGATTTTTTTCAGTGTATTTTTTTATTTATCAAAAATTGTTTAATTTATTAAAATTCATTAGTTGAAACAATAATTTTTTTTCCAAAATTAAAAAAAATCTGCGTTTCGACCAAAAATCATTTTTAAAATTATTTATTAATTTTAGAAAAAAAATTCTATATTTATTATAAAATTAAAAATACATGTAAATTCGAAAAATGTTGAAATATTATTAAAATAGTAATAAATAAAATATTAATATATTTTCATTTTTTTTTTTTTGCAGTGAAGGAAGAAAAATGAATAAACTTTGTCGACAACTTTCCATTGAGAGTCCATGTATCACGGGTCGTGATTTTGTCTTTAGTTTTGATGTTCCAGTACCAGATGTACCATCAAATGGAGCAAGAATACGTGTTGTTTGCGCTGGTGCATGCTATCAACCAAAACGTTCACCAAGTCTTTCAAGTTTAAATTCAGCGTCAAGTGGAAGTAGTTTGGCAACTGAAGTCTCTGTTGAGGGTGATTTTCCCGCTGTTATTCCACATCATGGAATGAGAGACGCTGCACTATTTCCAGGATATGAAGTGGCTGGTGTTGTTGAATCATTGGGTACAAATGTACCCAATGATTGTGGCTATCAAGTTGGCGAAAGAGTTATTCTTTATCCCTATTATGAGGGAATACCAAATGGATATGTTGAATATTTGGTGGTTAATGATTTGAAATATTTAATAAAAATACCCGATACAATGCCATTGAGTGTTGCTGCAATGTTACCAGCTGGTGCACTATTAGCAATGAACACTGTATTTGCAGCACATGAGCATGTTGAAAATTTATTGAAAGAACGAGGTGAAAATAGTCTTTGTAAAATACTCATTGTTGGCACTGGTGGCCTTGCACTTTGGGCACTTCGAATTGCTGCTTATCATTTTACCAATATGAAGGATCGTGTTGCCATTGCCGTTGCCACACTCAAGGATGATGGTCTTATTTTGGCACAAGAATTTCAACGGTACGAAATTTTATTAATTTTTCAAATTTTGTTCTTCATTTTGTTTTCTAAAGCTTTTCGATTATTAAAAATTTCTTATATTTTTAGTAAAGAAAGAAAAAAATAAAAAAAAGTAATTTCAAATAATACTTTTGTCTCTCGGCAACATTTGGATTTTAATGCTGATTTTATATAAAGTTTAAAGTCCAAACTTTTTATACCGACAGAGAAAAATTACCTTGTTTACTAAGACTGGAACACCTAATACTTATTTATAAAGCAATAACATTAAGTATATACAGACTTTGACTTTACGAACAGTTTGGAAAATAGCTTCTCCTTTTTTTTTATGCAAATTATCTTGTTTCAAGAATCATTAGATAATTATCTCTTTTTATTTATTAAACCATTGTTTTTCTTTCGTTTATTTGTCACTTATTTATCATTTCCTATTTTTTAAAACAAATTTTTTATTCATTTCATTTTTGTTTTGTTTGTATAAAAGTTATTTTCCTGATTAATTGACTTCTTTATTTTTTATAAGATGTTAAGATATTTTATTATCATATCCGGTGGGGGGGGAAACAATATTTATTTCTAAGATTCTAATCGTTTTACAATAAAATATAAGAGAATTCAAAATAAATATAATAATGAAAAATGTAATAATTGATTTTTCCTGATGACACAATCATAAAATATCTGATAAAACTATCGGGGTCAAGTGTATCGTTTACTGTTTTGTTTTAATCTCAAGAATTCAAGGAAATACAGATTTTTTTTTCTTTTTTATAATTTTCGTTTCATATCTGAGATGATATAATGTTTATTTAATTTTAAAAATTAGAAAATTTTTTTTAAATTAATTTATTGAATTATATTTCTATTATTATTTAATTTTTAAATTAATTATTTATTGAATCGATTTTATAATTATTGCGTATAAGTTTATATTTTTTTTTAATTTTGTAATATTTTTCAAGGTTGCCAATAATGCGAGAAGCTTTAGAAAAATTCTTTAGTCAATGCACTTTAACTTGCACGAGCACAAAATATTGATTACTTTTGCACTAGTTATGCACCTGTTGATCACTTTGTTTTTACAAATAGAAAATATATAATTTCAAGAACGTTTTACTTATGTTTAATAATTTATTAATTTTTTGATTTTTAACCCTTTCAGGTATTTTATATATTTTTTTTTATTATTACTGGATTGATCTAAAAAATTTTTTTTTTAATCGTACTTCAAATAAAAGAAAAATTCAAACTTCTGTGAATTTGGAAAAAAAAAAAATTTATAATAATTTTTCGAAGAATTTATTCTCCATCGCAAACAATGTAGAATCGCATATAATTTATTTACCAAACAGTCATTTTCCTGATTACAGAGTGAACGTTGTTCAATGGAGCGAGGATCTTTATGAGAGACAATTGATTGAGCGTACAATTGATGCATGCCAAGGATCAGTTGATGTTGTAATTGATTTTGGTACAACATCACGAAGTCTTCATCGTAGCTTGCAATGTTTATCAAAGGGAGGTGTTGTCTTTGTCATTAAAGAAGTTGCTGATAGATTACTTCCAAAATTTAGTAGAAAAGCTGATGAACGACAACAGAGTATTAAACCAGTTGAACCGGGTACACTTGAACAACTCAAAGAATTGGTACAATTGGTTGCATCAGGTGAATTAGAACCACCACCACATACAGTTTATCCAGCTGAAGAGGCACTCGATGTTGTTCATAAACTTTGTCATTCGGAAATTTATGGCAGAGCTATTTTGCGCTTCTATCCGACCGATTAAAAATATTCACGCTCTTGAGGAGCATATATTTATATTTCACGATATGAAAGTCGTGGAAAAAATTGTTGCATCTTTGCGAGTTTTTAAAGCATCGATAAAAAAACAAAAAAACAAAAAAAAAAAATGGTTATAACGCGCTACTCGCACGCGTTTCTTTTTCAATAAGTCTCATACTCGCCATGGTTTTTACTTCGAGAAACATAATGTCAATGATTGTCATATAAGGTTAATTATTGGGTCTCGATTAATGCACATAATCAGCTAAAAAAAGAAACATCTGAAATAGTCGAGCAAATTATATTCAAAAATCCTTCTTGTCAAATAGGGCCTCAAAAAAAAAAATTGAAATTCTAATATGTATCCAATTTTATACAATTTTGTATCTTAAATTCCCCCAAAGAAGACCTGATCCACTTATTGTGGTCAATTATTATAAACGAGAATGGATTAGTGCTTGATAAATGAAAATAATTATTTGCTTGACAGATGTTTCAAGAGAAATTTCTCTCATATCTAATTTTTTTTTCCACTAATATATATCAATCAATTTTTTTTAGAAATTATAAACTATTAGATGTTTAATGAAATTTCATATTCAAGTTTAGCAATTTAAGAAATTCAATAATTAGAAATTTAAAAAAAAATAAATTAAATTTAATGTTCAGAAAAAAAAATTAACGTTAAATTAAAATAAGATACGTTTTAAAGAAAACAATTCTGATTAATCGAGGCTGTATACCGTGACATTATATTTAATGTTAGTCGTAGAATGTTCTTAAAACAGTGGATTTAGTATTGAGACGTGAGCTAAAGAAGGGATATGAGGAAAAAAAAAAAAAATGTTCGTTACTGCATTTAGGCCATTACATAGAGTTATTAAAAGAAAAAAAAAATGGCCTGTGAAATAAGTTATGTAATTTCTCGTTGTTCACCTTTTAAATAGAATCAGTATTTCTTTCAGTTGATATTTTGAGTGAAGTTGCCGAAAATCTTACAATTTACTATAAGTAAATCGGATTAGTTACAGGATATAATGTGCAAAATGCTTTATATCGCAGTTCTACAATATTATTGTACCTTGAAAGACTGTTCGTTTATTTAAACGCTTTTTTTACTATTAATTATTATTAGACGATATAATTATAGTCAATAAGCACACGTCATTATAAATTAATTATAAGAATAGTTACGACAGTGTAAATGTATTATAAACATGTATTGCAATATAGCGATTACGATTTTTCTATAATTTAATCTCTTTTTACTTGGCCTTTAATATTACGAAATTCAGTTTTCAAATATGGCAACTATATATTTTTTTTAATTAAAAATTTAATAACAAATTACATTTTATTAAAAACTTTTATTTATTTATTCGTTTTTTTTATACAAAATTCAGAAAAACTCATTTTTTATAAGATCTAGATAAAAAATTAAAATTCACTTTCTGTAAAAATACATTATTTCTCTTAAATTTAACTGTTTTACAATTATACTAGGAAAAATAATTTGATATAGAAATAAACTTAAACATGACAATATAATTCGCGAAATGATTCATATTCTGAATTACATTTTTTTTTTTGTACGAGAAAACTTTATCTAAAAATATTAAAAGTGATTGTTTATAACAAAATAAAAAATATATATGCATTTTAAAACTCTATAAAATTTTTTTTAAAAAGTTTACAGAGTTTCTATTTAAAATAACAAATTTTTGTTTTGGAAAATTTCAAAAAAAATTTTTTAAACACTATCACAATATAAAAGCGATAATTACAAAAAATAATAACAGTTTTCTAACAATTAGTTATATATGTACAATAGAATTCAAAAAATTTTCTAGATTTCATTTCTAAAATAACACAATAATTAATACTTTGGTTTTGAAACTAGATAAAAAAAGAAATTCATTAAAAATTTGTAAACTATAAATTCAATACTTATAAAAATCAGAAGGCAAGTAAAATATCAGTTCAGTGGTGTGTAAAATTAAAAATACGATTTAAAATTTCAAAATAAATTGCTAAAAAATTGAGGCACAGTATTGAAATGGCAAATCGTGAAATTAAAATTTTTGATTTTATATCTAATTTAATAATAATTCTTTTGGGCCCATATAATTTCGAGGTACGTATCCTCTTTCAGCGTCTCGATTTTCCATCAGGTACCATGCATCATTTCCTTTTTGATCGTGCGGTGTTATTAATTTCAAAGCCTGACCCTTAATAACAGACATTGTCCCTTGTTGATTTCCATTAAAGTCATATAAAGCATAAAGAAACTGCAAAAAGAGAAAAAAAAAGCACAGAATAGAATATAAAATAGAAGAATTTTTCAAAAATATTAGAAAAAAAAGAAAATGATATGAAAGCATTTTTTTAAAAGGCAATAGCATACAAGAAATGAAAATGTCACTATATATAAACAATAGATGGCAAATATTTATTAAAAATACAAGTTCTACAAAAAAATGTACGAAAATTGTAATAAAAATAAGAGTAAAATATTTTGATATTTTCAATATCAAAGTATAATCATTAAAATAAATTCGAATATAAAAATATAATAATAAAATAGTAAAATAAAAGCGAATAATCAAATTCAAATAAAAATTGAGAGCTAACATGAAAGTCTAAATAACTAAATTATTCTAACTAAAAATAATTTTAAAAAAATGCGAATAATCTCGAAGTTGATGAAGATGATGCTTTGATGTTTACATTTTAATATCACTTACTTTATCCGATTCAACGGTATTCTTATAATTTTGACTAACATTTGATTTTGCCTCAAGATTCATGTACCAGTAAGATTGTGATGAATTTTGTTCCATTTTTAATTTTGATTCCTTTACTGGTGAGTCTAGAGAAATTAAATCAAATGTTGAACTTTGATTTTTAGCTTCATTTTGATTAACCTGTTGCATATTACGCAATGATTTTACACATCGACTTGGTATAAATCCTTGTTTTGCGCCATTATCAACAAACCATTTAGTAATATCACCGGTGGGATCTTTTTCCTTAATAACTGCAATCCATGTTCCTCGAATTGCTGATAAATCCAATGGTGATGCACCCTCAATATTTTCAATTACAATGTACAATTTTTCTAATGGATATTTATTTTTCAAATGATTTTTCAGTCTCTCACTTTGGGGCGATAATTTATTTGGTCCCTCTTCAATTTCCAAATTACTCGTTGATGATGATGATGATGATTTTAAACGACTTATTTGATTGTACAGTAAATGATGATTCACCAAAAATGATTCCAAAATGTTTTTTAATGAAACTTGATTAGCAGACTGTAAGGAAAAATATTTTAATTTATAATTTTTTAATTATTTAAAAAAAAATGTTTCGCTATGCAAAGAAAATTTCCTTACCTGAGATAATTGCATATATTTATTCATAACTCGTCCACTGAGAAGCATTCGAGCATTAGCGAATGCGTTAATACAATGACATAATATTTGAGTGCTTGCTTCAATGAAAATAGGTAATTCCTCCATTAATTGTTGATGAAGTGCTTCAAAATTATTTTTAGCGCTCATCAATTCTTCTTGAGTCTAAAATAAATAGAATTAGTTTTTTTCATTTAAATGCGTTTAAAAAAAATGTATTCAAAAATATTTACCGCTCTGTTATCCTTGTATTTTTCACTTTTTGATATTGCAATATCGTAATCTAACATTTTGTGATAACGTTTTGTAATTAAAAAATCAGGTCCTTCGAGTAGTGATGTTAAATTGTTTAATGGTTTTCTAACACGTATCTCAACAGTACGTTCTAGATCTTGTAGAAATTTTGTTTTTATTATTGCACGTGTTTCACATAATTGATAAATTTCATTATTTGGCGTTCCTTGATGATAGTGATTCAATAATTCAGCTAATACTTCACTGCAAATAATTTCTTCATTCAAAAAATTAACACACAACTGTACATCTCTTCGCAATTGTTTTGTACATGTTTCCAATGTTTTAAATTGTTTTGTCAACTCTTCATATTCACTATCAGGTGCAAGATTCGATGCTCCCAATGAATACGAGAGCATTGCCATTGATCTTGATGATTTTTTTGACACGGAATGCATTGTTAATTTGGAAAATTTTTCCTTTAATGTATTATTTGACTCCCAATATTTTGAGATAAGATCTTTTCTACGTTTAAATTCATTGATATTCTTGGCTACATTTGACATAACATTATATGCTTCCTCCAATGTCAATTTGTCAGGATGATTTTCTTCGGTACTCTGTGTTTTAATTATTAATTAATTATTATATTTTAATTAGATTTCTATATTTAAATTTTTTTTTTAATTTACCTTGATTAATTCGTTCAGCAACAAAGGGTATTTTAAAATTCTTTGAACTGGTTTTATTAAAATTGAATCCATATCAAAGCAAATAACTTGACGTCGCAGGGTTTCCACTCCTTTATCGAAAACAATCATAATATCCTTATTTTCCGCGTACTGAAATAGAAAAAAAAATTATTATACTTTTATTAAAAATAAATTTGAAATTTGAAAATACCTTTTGTAAAAGAACCTGAGCTGCTTCATGATTGGTACAATATTTAACATAGGCGTTTTGCATTTTATCAGCCATTTCAACAAAACAAGGACCAACAGTTTGTTTCTCTTCGTCGCAATCTTTCATTGATTTCAAAATTAAATCTAACAATTCTTCGGCAATTTGTGTAACCTCATCGATATTACCAAACAATGTATGAACATCGATACCTCTACTTTCGAGAAAGGACGGATTGTGTAAATTAAATGTCTCGTATGTGACTTTTAAATCTCTGACATATTCTTTTTCAGTCAATACTAATTCAGATATTACATTTTGTCGTTTATCTGCTTTTTTCTGCTTTTCCGTGACAATATCGTCATTGGGAATATTTGATTGTTTTTGAATAGGAACTCGTCCAGGAACTGGTGCCGGTGGCGCTGGTCGATGTGGCAATGACAATCTTTTTTCTTCCTTAGGTTCACTAGCTGCTTCTTCATCATTAATTTCATGATTTCTTATTACAACAAAATCCTCGACAGCGTCGCTAAATATTTCAGTTTCCGATTCAGCTATACATGCCAAATAGGAACTTGGACACGAGCCAATTTGTCCATCATTATTTTTAACAATAATCCAATCTGCATTAATAACTTCGACAATTTTAACAATATCTCCTTCTTCAATACTTAAATCTCCATCCATTTGTGCTTTAAATGTATATTCAACTTTCGCTGACATTTCAGGTATAAAAATATTTTCCTGTTTTGGAAAAATATCAATTTTCTCCTCAATGTGAATTTCTTGTTCCTTTTTACTTTTATCACAATCAACAATTATATTTACGTATGAAACGGGAAATATTCCCTTCATCGAATCTATTACACCTTCTACCCATTCGGAATCGATGTATTTTATTAAATTCACAACTTCACCTGATTGAAAGCTTAATTCATTTGGAAATTGTGCATTAAAGGGATATAGTGTTATTGCATATGGTTCGACGCCAAGTGGATTTGGACTTTCATCGATGTGAGATTCAGCATCTTGAGGAAGACTTTTATTTTGAGAAAAATTCTCAGGAAAAAGATCAAAATAATTCGGTGCTGGCTCATCAATTGAGGAAAATGATGAATTTTCTCCAAAATCCTTATAAATTTGACCACCATTTTCTATTGATTGAGGTAAAGGATCTCTTATTGAATTAATTTCGTCCGTTTCATCAAGACTGACATCATCGATATAAGTTACAAAAGCTTCAGGAAAAGTGCCTTTTCTTTGATCATTCGTTATTCCAAGACACCAACCATCTTCAACAATTTCAATTACTGTTATAATTTCCCCTTCTATTAGATCCAATTCTTCATCAAGTTGTGCTTTCATTGATGTTTTTACTTTTGCTTTTCTTTGAATTGATTTCTTTTTCGTTGGTTGCTGTAATAATTAATTTAACATAATTAATGAAAATAAAATTTCTTCGATTTGCAAATAAAAATACCTTGATTAATGATTTATTAAGTTCCCAAACGTGAGTAATTGGAAAAATTCCTTTTCTAGATTCTGAATAACCCGAATACCAGCCTGGTTGTACTTCATTTCTTCCAACAATAAATTCTCCTTTAAAAAAAAAAAATATATTAATTATTTTACAAATAATAAAATTTAATAGCTTGCAAGATTAATTAATAAACAAATATTTAGAATACCTTTCTCAAATGAAAGATCACCAGGTTGTTCGCCAGAGAATGAAGCAATTGATATAAATAAAGTTACAGATTCGTCAACGATTGGAATATTCACTTTTAATAAGTAGCTTACTGGAAATTTTCCCGTTTGTTTATCAGACTGTCCATAACACCAATGCTTGTCGACATTATTAATGATCTAAAAAAAAAAAAAATATTAACGAAATTGTTTTAATCCTCTTCTAGTTTCAGAATTCAAATTTTTATTCTTAATGTAATTTTTAAAAAATATTATTACTATTTATAAATATATGAAAATAATTTTAAAATTACAAAATTAAAATAAATGTCTAAAATACTATTCTTTTAAATTGCTTCTATAATTACCACCGTATATATCAACATTCTTTTAGTCTTGATAAAAAAAAGTATCAATTACGTTTATAATGGACTTAACATTCTTAGATAAAATCTTAATATTTTAATAATAAACGTAAAATATAAAAATTTATACTATTTATACATAAAATATACTGTTTTTTTAAAAATTTTTTTATAAATAAATAATTATCTAATCGCAAATACATACTGCGCAGCTACGTATAAAAACAATTGGTTTTTTTTTCGACATTTGTCATTTAATGCAAACTAGAGCTTAACAAATACAAATCAAATATGAAAAAAAAAATTTTTACACAAAAAATACTTATTTTAGAACAAGGCTAAAGTGAAAATAATATACAATTATTATTATTTTAAAATATGATGTAATGATCTGAAAAGTAGAGGTAATTACAAATTTTAGTTTGGAAGTTTAAAAAACACATGTTATATTTACCAAAAAATAATCGCCTTTATAGAGACTCAATTCTCCGTCTTTTGTTGTAAAAAAATCGTGTAAAACTTTTGTTAATGTTCCTGGTTCCATTGTTATAGAGGTTATTGTTCTGGTTGCAAATCAACTTTGTTGAAATTTCAACAGATAAACGTATAGAATGATTTTTTCTAGCCACAAGTATATTTTAATAGACTCTTTATACACGTAGCATAGTGGCATGATATAATTTTTAAAACTTGATAATACATAATTAGAAAATTTCTTGTGTAATGTACATTATATACTTCAGCTTTAAACCAGATATATTTCTCGACTGACTGAGCGCTCACTGACGTTTAGTGAAACATAACCTATAAAAAGCGCATGCCACGCAGAAAAAGTTGTTCTGCTCCGTTTGTAGCGGTTATGTTGTTTTGTATTTTTAAAAAAATGTTGTCTAGTGTTATAAATTATATGAAAACAATTGTGATTCATTGATGGAAACAGGTAATAATTGTTTTATATTGTTTTTTTTCGAAATATTTGTTTTTGTAAAGAATTATTACAATTTGGAGTATATGTTTTTGTTGAACGAATTTTTTTTTGTTTTGTTTTTCAAAAATGTAATTTTATTTTCGAAATAATGTTTATTAATTGTTTTTTACGTTATTAAACAATATTTCGTTATGGTATTTATTAATTTTTAACTTATATTTGAATTAAACGGTTTTGTAGGTTATGTTGCATAACGTATAGTGCATATTATTCAAAAAGTGATAATAAACCATTGTTTACAGATGGAAATATATGTAATTCAATTTATAAAATTAATATTATTAATTAAAATTATGTAACGTAATAATTATCATTGTTTTATTATTAAAATTTTATTCTTTGCTTATAGAAAAATTAATTTGTTTTTAATTTTCAGCTTTCGATGAACATTGCTCGATTTTTTAATATTATCAGATATGAGTAAAATTATTGATGAACCAGAAACCGAAAATTGGTCTGATAAAAAATTAGTAATTGCTTTTACAGACTGTGGTAATACATTTGGTCGATGGGCTTTATTTTCTGGTGTAGTTGGTAATAAATATATCTATTATTATTAATAATTATTACTATTATTTAAAGAAATTAATTATATTTATGTATATAATTTCAGGAATTTGCACATATCCATTTCTTATTCAACGTACTTTTAAGATATTTCCAAGCTATGAAGTAAGATTGCTCATCAGTTCTATTTTAATATGTTCAACAATTATTGGTACAGGATACTTAGCCAAGAGACAATGTGAAAATAATGTGAAAAAATTATATTCTGAAGGCAGACAATTAGAACTTGAGATACAGAAACAAATTTCAAAATAAAAAGACAAACGAAATAATAATAAAAGAAAAACTTTAGTGAAAAAAAACTCTTTTAATTATAAATTATTATTTACGTTAAATGAAGTGAAAATTTTTTAAAATGTACTGTTTTCGAAAAGTTGTTTCAACATTAAAATATAATATTCAATCCGCTGTGTTTCCAAATTCAAAACGTAGTTTGAAATTGCCAACTATCGTTACAAGATTTAATCATGAATCAATTGAAACAGAAGAATCTGAAGCCGATTTATTGGAATATCAAGAAATGTCAAATGTTTCTTTAGGAACAGTCGCTGGTGGTCAAAGAATTTTTATAATACAACCCTATATAAAATGGGGCCGAGGGAAAAAAATAAATACAACTCCTGAATTGCAAATGAGTGAAGCAGAGGCATTAATTAATACACTACCACGTTGGGTAGTTGCTGATAAAAAATGTATACCATTATTATCTTTAGGGAGAAATAAATTAATGGGTAGAGGTGCACTTGAAGAATTAAAACGAAGAATTGAAATGGCCAATAATGTGACAGGCATTTTTATAAGTATAAATTTATTAAAACTCGTGCAAATAGAAGAATTACAAAAAGAATTAAATCTTCCAGTTTTTGATCGTTATTCAATTGTAATACATATATTTCGTTTACATGCCAAAACACCTGAGGCTAAATTACAAGTGGCACTTGCTGAAATTCCTTATATTTGGCAAAAAATAATAGAAGATAATCAGGATCTTCATAGAATTAATTTAAAAGAATGGAGAAAAAGAATTCTTCAAACACGTCAGTTAACATTAAAAAAGGAATTAAAAAAAGTTCAACAAAAACGTTTTTTAATAAGAAGAAAGAGAAAATTATTGGATATTCCAAGTGTTGCAATTGTTGGCTATACAAATGCGGGTAAAACATCTTTAATTAAGGCATTAACTGGAGATTCATCATTAATGCCTAGGAATCAATTATTTGCAACACTTGATACAACCGCTCATGAAGGTTATCTACCAAGTAGATTAAAAATTCTTTATATGGACACTATTGGTTTTATACAAGATGTACCTGAAGGGATGTTGGCTCCTTTTATTGTCACCCTTGAGGATGCATTTGATTCTGTGAGTATAGGAGATTTTTTTCTCCTTTTTTCGGTAAATTTGAAATTTATTGTAATAAAAAAATATTATTTTTTAAAATCAATATTAACTAAATAATCTATATTTCCAGGATGTGATAATACATATTTACGATGCTAGTCATCCAGATCAATTCGCTCAAATAGAACATGTCACATCAACTTTACAGTCGCTTAACCGTGATAATCGACCAATTATCGAAATTGCAAACAAGTGTGATCTAATTGAAAAAAATACAGTCCCTGAAGAGATAATAGCAATTTCAGCGACAAAGGGAATTGGTAAGTAGATTTATTAGAAAATAGTTTTATTATTTATAATTTAAAAAGAATAAAATAATTTTTAAACATTAAACAAATTATCATTTTAAAAATAAAATTATTAATTTTATAAAAAAATTGGTTTTAATAAATTATTGTTTTGAAACAAAAAAGAATATAATTTAATTTCTAATTGCTAAAATTTTTTGTTTTAAATTTTAGGTATTGATTTGTTACGAAGAAGAATAGAGCTGGAAATTTTGCGTTCTACGGGTCGAAAGCATATACGAATGAGGGTAGCGTCAGGAACTGAGGCCTTCGCATGGTTATACAAAGAGTTAACAGTGACAAATACAGAACCTGATCACGAAAATCCTCAATACATGTACATAGATGTTATAGCAACCGAGACACAGATTTACAAATTCAAACGATTTCTCAAAAATTAAACAATTTTTGAAGTTTGAAATATCTTTTACTTAACTTCTTATTCCATCTTCTCCCAAAAAAATGGTAATTTTTTAAAAATAATTTTAAAGTAGTTTACAGCGTCTCTGCTAAAAATTAATTCCAAAAGTTTTATAATTTTAATATTTTTTTTTCATTTTGTTTCCCACTTCCCTAATTTTAGAATTAATTTTTAGCAGCGATAACAACTACTTTAAGAAAATAATCCTTTTTCAGAAAATTTTAATTTAAACTAAATTTTTTTTATTTTATTTTTCAATCAATTGTTTTTTTTCTTTAAATCCGCAACGAAAAATAATTTTAGCTATGCAGGTGAAAAACAAAAGGAAAAATTGAAAAATGATTTAGAAAATTTATTATTTAATTATCATTACTAAATGTACTTTTATATTATAATTACAGTGAGAATCAGTATTTTACTCTGGAGTTGTATGAATAAATGAGTAGGTGGAGAGTGAAAGATAGATAATTTCTCGATATCAAAATGCAACGTTGCAACAAAGAGTGCGAGAGAAAGAGAGATGTGGAAAAAAAAAATTGGTTCGTTCACTGGAAGATAAATATGGGTAAGTCAGTGTTAATGAATCTCTATAGCAGTAACTGCTGCTTTTAAAATCTTTTAAGTTCAAAGAGAAATTATTCTCCCCCTTCTTTTTTTTTTTAATTTTAAATATAGTGAAAATTTTCTTTTTCTAATATTCTCAAGTTAAATAAGTCAGAGGTAAGTTTTCTTATAAACTCTCTCAAGTTTTCTTCAATTTCAACGGTAATTAATTATAAAAGCACAGTAAAAAAAAAAAACTGTTCTCCGAGTGAAAAGAGCAGACTTTTAAAAGATAAACTCGATTCTTTGCTATGACAAAAATAAAAAAGAAAAAAAAAATTATTCCTAATGTAATATCGCAATTAAATTAATGTCGTTTTATCGTTTTTCAAACTCTCTAATTTAAAGTTTAAACTATAAGGGAATAGTTTTAGTTCGTTTATTTCATTGGAAACAATTATCTGAATAATTAACTAACAAATCTCAAACACTGCGTACATATATATATATATATATATATATATATATATATATATATATATATATATATATATATATATATATATAGTTTAAATTCAAATGCAGAGAGAAAGAGAGTGGACAGTAGTGATTGGCCCTCCTCTCTCGTTGATTTAGTCGGCGACAAAAATTCAATTACAGGTCAATGCGTCGATTTTCTTCCCCTCCGGATGCTCAATGTTCCCCTATATTACTATCAGTAAATAAAAAATTAATCCCTTGGATGTTTAAACCGTTTGATTTAATTTACTTCTATTGATAGCTCGCACTTAGTAAATCTTATCAATTTGAGAATATTAACCCGTAGATAAAAAATATTTTTTATTGCTTTCAATAATATTGATTTAACAATTTTTAATTCAAAATACGATTCGGAATAATTTTTTAAAATTATTTTTTCTACAATTTTATTAAAATAAACAAAATGAAATTTCATGATTATAGTTGATCTGAATTGAATCGTTTGAGAAATTATCTCGCGTCAACAAAATTTCAAGTTGACATTTGAACACGAATACAATGAATAGTTTTTTTTTCGATTAAAAAGAAAACAAAAAAAAATCTTAATATCTAAGGTTCACAGGTCAATCGTTTCACGCTGTGAATGCTTCGTGTGAAATTAAATCGGCAATGCGATTCGCTTGATGTGCGCTATAAAGATAGTATCTCATGTCCTGCTCGACAGTGTCGGTATAACATCAAAAGGAAACGAGAAAATTTCGATCCCTTTTACAATCTATTTAGCCAATTTCTATTTGAAAAGACCCAATATTTATTTATATAGAAAAATTCAGATCTTAATTACTTATAAAAATTACAAAAATTTTAATTTGAAAATTTTATTTAGCATCAAAAAAATTTTTTTTTTTTCTCATTATAATAATTATCTATTGTTCAATGAACCTTCAAGACAGGTAAACGCGGTATTTTGACAGTTCAAAGACAATAAAAAAAAAAAAAAAAGAAAAAAAAAGGAAAAAAATACAGTAAACATAAAAGCCTTAATAACAAGCAAGTTGGTCCGCGCAATTTCCTGGCAATCCTGGGCCCAAATCCCATTTAGGATTTTAGGAAGAATAAAAAATAAAGGATGCCGTTAGTTATTATACGACTATATATAGATATATACATACAATAGGGGGAAGCTATTAGGTTGAGTCCCTTCGATATATATATAGTCGTCGTAAAATCTTATTGGTGTAGAGCAAATTCGTTAACATGACTAGGAATTTATTTATTACGAATATTTATTAAAGGGAAAAAATCTGACTGAAAATAAATTATACACTAACAATGTATGTAACACGTGACTATTTTTGAATGATGCTTCATGCATTTTTAGTGTCTTTTTTTTTTTTTTTTTTATAAAAATATTCCGATCGAATGTATATATAGGACTGTCATAAACCGTTTTCTTTTTTTTTTTTTTTTTTTTCATTTTTTTAATTACTCTCCTTCTACCTGTTTCGCTCTTTTGGCCTCTCACTATTTTCCAACCCGTACACTAAATTCCACATAAATAATATCCAGCATCCTTTTCAAGGCTGTATTTGCAATTCCAAATCAACCTTATCTTACCTGTTATTCTCAGAGCTAAAAATTATTATTAATGGAATATAAATGAAAAATAAATTTTTTTTTTCAATTTTCGAAATAATTATAAAAATTTAATTAAATTAATATTGATAATTTCATAACTAAATAAAAATTTAATAACAATAATAATAATAGTAATAATATTAATAATAATAATAATAATAATAATAAATCTTTCATGTTTCAATTAAAATTCAACAAATTAAATTAAAATTAATTTTCGAATTAAACATAATTAACAAAGATTAAATTAAAATTAATTTTCGAATTAAATATAATTAATAAAGATAAAAAGAATTTTTTTTTGATGAAACAAAAAAGAATTTTTGTATTGCAAAATACAAAGATTGTGTAAAAAAAAATTCCGATAAAGAAATTAATTCGCAGCATCCTTAATAAAATTAAATTTGTCACGTGGTAATTTTTGGAGTATATAATTTTTGTATTGTTAATGAAAAAAAAATTGTATTTTGGAAAATTTACATTCTAATATCAATTTCGTAAACATTATAATCAACCTATATGAAAATTAACATTTAAAATTTAATGTTTGTCCCAAACAAATTTCAGTTACGTCCTCTTGACATAGGGTACCTTGTATTATAGTCGGGGAATTTTATTCATAAAACAGTAATTTTAATTTTTTTTATTGTTCTTAATTTATTTTACACAATTGTATAGTATTTTTTTATTTAGATAAATAATTAAATTAAATTTTTATAGAAGTTTAGAAGAATTTTGATTTTTTTTTTAAAGGTACGGGCTCTGAAAAAAGTTGATACGGTAGTGAGGAAGGCGCAAGAGTGGGGTTATGTTACAGGTTCGGCGCAAGTCTGGAGCGGCCGGCGGAGCCCAGCAGTTGAATCCCGTGAGTCCGGGCAAGTAGAACTAGTGGATAGGGTGGTGCTAACGCGTTTAATGGGCAAAGGGAGTATCGCCTCGCCGCCATCAAATAGAAAAATCACAATTTGCGTGGGTGAAACGGAATAAAATAAAAGGTGAATAGTCTCAAGCGATTACGGTGAGCTCTCATCTTGTCGAAGATTTTGTTTGTCGTGGACAAGATTTTTCAACAAGGGAGGTCCGGCTCGAAACGAGGCGAGCTGTCACTTCGATCGCCATTTTAGTGCCGGGAATGCGCGCCGCCGTCGGCCGAATTGTGTACGGCAGGACAGTGGACGCTGCTCGTGCGCGATCCTGAGTTTTCGTGTGATAACAGTACCAGACGACGTCATCGTTGACGTCTTCGGGAGGCCGGTTCAAAACGAAAGGACCAAGTCGGGGTTACGACCTCAGGTGAGAATTGCGAAAAAAAAAAAAAAATGTGTTGGTATTCACAACACGTCGTATAAGTGATAGTGTCCGGTACATTCCGGAGTCGTGTGGGAGGCACAAGCCTCAGTTTTCTTGGTTATCCTCTCCGTTTTCTCTTTCTCTCACTCTCGGCAATCTCCTACTCGAACGCCCACTCTCCTTCTTCTTTCGTGCCCTCCGCCCTTTGTCCTTTGGAGATTTCTCCATGAACTCATATACACATATACAAACATCTCTCACGAAAATTCTGAATGGCAATTCTTTTTGATTATTCGCATTCTTCTTTGCCGGTGATCACACCTTTTCTCCCCACCCTCGAGCTGTCAACGATCACAACACTCGTGCAAAATCCTTTCGAGGAATTGGAAGCAACCGGTGCTTCGTGCATATGTATTCATGAGATTAAAACGTTTTAAACATTAAGGATTGTGTCCCTAAGTATCGGTTTGGAGACGATGAACCATTCAGGTCGATCTGTGGGACGTACGAGTGGATGACCTCGAAGGTGAGAAGACAGGGCAAGATATCGGCGCCATACTAGCTGACTATACTATAATTTTCAAACCAGGAACCCATGATGAATTGACGCAAGAGAAATTGACCGAGGTTCAACGTTTTGTTTTATCGATCGCGTTTCTGCCCTTTTACAAGTATTTCTCAACTTTAAAACGTAACCTTAAATTTTTCTCATTTTTCCTGTCAACATCCTTGGCGGTAATTTTTTTTTTTTCCCCCTTCAATTATTCCAAGTGTTAAGTAGAGGAAAATAGTGAGAGTCAGTGAAAACGGAGAGTAATTTTGGGTGATTTAGTTCTTAGTGTAGTATTGTTTTATTTAACAGTGACGACGGCAGTTTGGCACGTCCTGGAGGCAAGTGCGAGAAAGAAGGATGAAGGAGTAAAATAGATAGTGAGATAAATTACAAGATAGAAGAGAGAACCAAAGTGTTATTGCGTGTGTGTGTATGTGTGTGAATACAGTTGGCTTATTTTGTGCGTGTGAGAAAAATCAGAAAGACAGTGGGAAAAGCCGCGTGTGGTACGTTATAAGTTTCAAGTTGATCAACGGGGGTGCTCAAATACTCAAATAAAAAGGAAAAGTGTGACTGTTACATCTCGAAAAAAAAATATATATAAGGATACCTGGATATAAAATATCGTCTTTGAGTGAGTAGGCAATATTTTGAAAATATTTTAATGTAAAAACAATTTTTAGGTTAGAAAACAGATATTCGAAATCTTTTTAATTTTTTTTGGAAATATTTGAATATAGAAACAATTTTTAGGTTAGAAAATAGATATTCGAAATCTTTTTAATTTTTTGAAAATATTTTAATATAAAAACAATTTTTAGGTTAGAAAACAGATATTCGAAATCTTTTTACTTTTTTTTGGAAATATTTGAATATAGAAACAATTTTTAGGTTAGAAAACAGATATACGAAATCTTTCTAATTTTTTGAAAATATTTGAATATAAAAACAATTTTTAGGTTAGAAAACAGATATTTGAAATCTTTTTAAGAATTGGTTATTTTCGTTCTAAAATAATTTGGAAACTAACATTTCTAATTAAAAAAAAAAAAATTGGTTTTATTTTTATAGAACAATATTATTGCGCACTATTACAAAGAATTCGTAAAGTTAATTTGTGTTTTCAAAAAGCTATTTTTATCCAAACAAATTGAAATTGCTTATGTGTTTACATATGACAAACAAAAAGTATCGTTTATTTTCGTTCAAAATTTTGTTTCAACTAATTTTTATCCTGAAATTGAAGTAAAATTTGTATCTTTTGTATATTAAGAAAACAGGGGATAGATAAAAATGTTTTCTATTTGTTCAAATGTCCTTTATGGTTTAGGAATTCTTTCCTTTTTTGTATATAGAACACTTGTAACTCTCAAGACGGCTTTTAATCGAGAGTAATAATTATTATGGAATTTACATGTGAGAGGCGAAGGGCTGTAAATCAGTATCGATCCATTATGAATGGTTGATATGTAGTTAGGTGAAGGTGTACTTGGAGGACAATTAACCAAACGCACTTCATCATTCGTATAGTCTCGATATATTCGCAAAGTGTTTCTCACAAAATACATTTTATGAAGTGCAATTCTATTTTTTTATTTGTAACTTTTAATAATTTTCTTTATTATATTTTTCTTATGTAATATTTTTACGCTTTCAATATCAATTTTTCTCTTCTATTACGAAAAATCACATTTGACAAATGAATATAGACTGACATTAATTTAAAACTTGTAGTTGGAGAAAATTATATATGTGCGCGAGATGAAAGTATATTTGGATTTTAAAAAAGTCATCATGAATAGTAAAGGAAACTAATGGATGAACCCACATCAATCAAAATGTGAATAGATATTTATTACGGTAAACCATCAGGTGAAAGAGAAAGAGATGCATTTGACCTGTGAGAGAGGTACTAAAAAAAATATAATAAGCATTGATAATGAAAAGAATACACAATTCATATATAGGCACGAGGTTGATATAAAATGTATAAATATCTAATGGTCAGAAAACATGGTTTTAAAAAAAAGTAATACGAGTTAAATTTCACTATTTTTTTTTTTTTTCGTGTCTGATTCATTCAATATTTACAGGACAAATGACGAGTCACGACTCTCTTTAGACATATATATATATATGTGTTTTTTCTTTCTTTTTATTATTAAAAATTGACAATTTCAAACTCGCAAACGTGTCTCCTCAACAGGAATGAGTTACAAAAACTGTTCCATCAATTTTTGAAAAGACATTAAATATTAAAGTGGGAAAATTTAAAAAGTAAACTTTCACAGAAATATTTATGGAGCAAAATTTTATTTTCAATTCCAATGTCTCGATATATCTATTTTTATTTTATATGCTTATATTTTTGTTAATTAATTATGTATCATTCAGTAAGACCTGACCTTGATTTTTTTTATTTTCTTAAATATAGAATTGAGCTGGATTATTTTTAAAAAAAAAAATTATCTATTTATAGTTTTCAACGTGAAAGCATAAAATAGATTTTAATTTAATGCAAAGAACAATTTTAAATTGTTAATTATTAATGATTACAACTTTGATAAAACTAACACTGATAAAATTAATAAGAAAAGTAAAATTATAGATGCAAATATGATCAATTTGCTTGCGTACATATTAATTTTATTCCAGCTACAAGTAGTTTTACAACACATTACCAAAGCGATCGATATTTGGAAGTGAATTTAATCTTGATATGTTTTTTTACATATATACAACCTATCAAGATTAAATTCACTTCCAAATGTATATATATAGAGAATGAAAAAAATTTTAATGCATTGCAGTAAGTACTTGAAAGCATTCGTTTATATTGCATGGAAAAGAGAGAATTTATCGTTAATCCATTGTATATAGTTTCACTAAAATAAAAAAAAAAAATCACAAAATGAGACATATTCTTTCTTGGAAATTTTGAATAGTCGGTTATTTTAAAAATCCATTTTCTGAAATCTATTTTGTGTTTAAATTGTGATGTAAAGAGGATGTTTGTTTAAGCTTGAAAAAAATTAAATTTTTTTTTTTTAGATATTTCGTCACTCGTATTGAATTAGCAAGTTTGTCGTGTACTTCCATGAAATCGTTATTCCTTCGAAAACATGCGGAAAGAAAAATGTCCCGCTTTCTAACATTGAAAAGTTGTACTCAACTACTCATGTCGACTAAAGTTTCTCTCCTCGTTTTTTTTTCTCTCTCTCTCTGTCTCTCTCCACTTCATCCGTTAAGGTGACACTTTTCTTTGAAAGTCTTTAGTATATGTTCCATTATATTTGAGGTTAATATTTAATTTCGATTTTGTACTGTAAATTAATTATTAAGATAATATTTGCGTTTTTTAAAGTAGAAAAACTTGTTTTTAGAAAAATGTTACTCTCTAAATCTGAATTCTATTCTTCTAATTTAAAGAGGGATTATTCATTTACCAATTGATTTAGTAACAGTTTTGACTAATTTTTAGTAAAAAAAAAAAACTATTAATTGCTAGTAGGAAACTATTACTCATTCATGTACGGAAGAAAAGAAAAAGTAAATTTTACTACTTTCATATAGTAAAACGGGAACTGTCCGAAGTTTCTGCGCATCTCTGGCAACTTTTACTCCAAAAATAGTAAAATTTACTATTTTTGTAGTAAATTTTACTGTTTCGTAGTAATTTCTACTATTTTTAGAAGTTTCTGCGCATCTCTGGCAATAGTAAAATTTACTATTTTTGTAGTAAATTTTACTGTTTCGTAGTAATTTCTACTATTTTTAGAGTAAATTTTACTATTTTTGGAATAAAAGTTGCCAGAGATGCGCAGAAACTTCGGACAGTTCTCGTTTTACTATGAAAGTAGTAAAAATTAATTTTTCTCTTTTTTTCCGTGCACTGTAAAAAGAAAGTACTAAAATAGTACTGAAAAGTACTAAAACAGTACCGATTTTAGGTACACTGAAAAAAAATTCTAGTTAGAATAACTAGAATTCTGGTTAGGGTATATTTAACATTTTGATTCTGGTTAGGTTAACCAGAATTCTGGTTATTTTAACGAGAATTCTAGTTAATTCAACTAGAATTCTGGTTAACATAACTAGAAAGTAATGTTAAATATAGCCTAACCAGAATTTTTTTTTCAGTGTATTAAAATAGAACAAAATGACAATTTCGTACCTGAAGTCGGTATTAAATTAATACCTTTCTTTTTACAGTGTAAGGAGTAAATCGTATTTTTTATTATTTCAAATTAGTAAGCCGATTTACTCCATGAATTAGTAGTTTTCTACTTGCGATTACCCGTGTAGAAATTGCCCTACCAGGGCCCTAGTAGGAAATGAAACGCTGATTAAGGCCAAATCAGGGCGAAATGTGGATTTCCTAATCAGGGCAACATCAGGCGCGACGTTTCATTCCCTAATAGGGCAGCCTGATCCAGCCCCGATCTGGACCTTCACAGAAAATTAAAAAGCATTAAAATAAGCTGCAACGCTTATTATTTTAATCCAATTTTGCTTATTTTAATACCAAAATGGATTTAAATAAGCAAAATTGGATTAAAATAATAAGCGTTGCAGCTATAATACCAAAATGGATTAAAATAAGCAAAATTGGATTAAAATAATAAGCGTTGCAGCTTATTTTAATGCCTTTTAATTTTCTGTGTTGGCAAAATTTTTACAATGCACGGAGAGAAATTTCTAGGAATATTTACCGTGCTGCCACCTGAAAGTGAGTGCAATGTACATTGTGGCAGTTTTTACTGTGCTGCCCCTACAATTTTGCATTACAGATTGTAGAGGCAGCACAGTAAAAACTGCCAGAATGTACTTTGCACCTCACTTTTAGGTGGCAGCACGGTAAATATTTCTAGAAATTTCTCTCCGTGTGGTAGTAGTTTTTTACTAAAAATTAGTCATAAACTGTTACTAATTCAATTGGTAAACGAATACGCACTCTTTCTTTCACATAGAAAATTATAAGGTATTAAAATAAGCTCTAACGCTTATTATTTTAATTCAATTTTGCTTATTTTAATACCAAAATGGATTAAAATTAGAGCTGTGCAAGTTTTTAAAATTCGAACCGCTCCATAAGAATTAACATGGGCTCGAATCGAATATTCGATCTGAGCCCATACAAAATTCGAACTTTTTCACAGCTCTAATTAAAATAAGAAAAATTGTATTAAAATAATAAGCGTTTGCAGCTTGTTTTAATGCACTTTTAATTTTCTGTGTTAGTAGAAAACTACTAATTCAGATTTAGAGAGTATGATTAGTTATGAGAAATGAAGAATTCCTTTCACAAACTAGAATGCGGGGGGGTTAATGGAAAATGGTTTCTCTCTTTCTCTTATAAGACTACATTGTCGACTAATCGATTCGCCTAACGTGTCGCGTCCTGCGTGCTAGGCATTTTGTTCGCAATGACATTTAAATCTGTGATCTCGCGTCGAGTCGACTGGAAATAACGTCCTGTTGAACAAACGCGGACGTTTGTTGCTCGATGACGTAACACACAAGGCAATATCGAGAGAGGAGAAGAAAAACCGTGGTGCACGAAGAAGAATGAAAACGCTGCTTTGAGCACGATGCTCTCGGGTAGGTAGGCTGCATGTTCGAGTCCTAGATTCA